CCCAATCCTATACACCAAATCCTATTTCTATTTCTAGACTTAATCTTGATGCTAAACCTATAATCCCAAAATTAAGCCAACCTGAAAAATCGGATTTTAAACCCAATCCTTACATTTACATACTGCAAAAACAAATTGGTTCGAAACAACCTATAAATTGATCGCCTGAAGGTCATTCCGAATCTGAGACAACAAATTTATGGGTTAATTCAATAAATTATTTTTTAGAGTTTATGAAAAAGTATTTAATTTTGATAAATAAAAAATCAAAACTATGCAGCCCAATCAAATGCCAAATTCCCCAACAGAAACCCTAAAAAATTTGATGTCATCACCAGGAAATATTAATTGCCAGCAGGTCTCAACTTCTAACTCCTGTATCATTTGATTATCTAGCAATCACAAAAGATACGATATTTAGCATTTTTACGACGCATTTTACCGATTTAGCTATATTTTGACGAGCATGCATAAACAAGATACAATGTTAACGGAACAAAATTTAACATTCAATTTAACATTCGCACGACAATTAGCATTTTCACGATGTATGTTATTGATTTAGATACATATTTTCGTGTATTTCCAAGATTCAGTGTTTAAATGTCTAATTATCACTACCAAACCTGTATTTTCAAACCTCTAGTTTTACAATGTTCATGTATTTCTATTTCACGAAGGTACTTCTTGCCTTCCTTAGAAAACTTGTTTCCATCTAGACGCAAATCATTTAGCACAAAATGTTCATCTTGCAATGCTTTATGTAGATCGGGTATACAGTCATCTGTTAATGAACAATAAGACATGCGTAATTCCTTAAGTTTACAATGCTCCATAGTTAAAGCAGATCTACACAACATGCGTAAACCTTCATCGCTTATACCTTTATTCTCTTCTAGAGACAATACAGTCAGTTTACAGCGTTCATCTTCCAGTGTCTCACATACACCGAATATACATTTATCCGTTAATGAACAATTATCAAGATTTAATTCAATAAGTTTACAATGTTCATCTTGCAATGCCTTGCGTAGCTCGGGTATACAGTCATCTGTCAATGAACATCCGGACACGTTCAACTTCAAAAGTTTACAATGCTCTGTTCTTAAAGCAGATTGGCACAACACACGTAACCCTTCATCACTTATACCTTTATTATATGCGAATGACAAAACAGTCAGGTTGCAAAGTTTATCTCTGAGTAACTCACACAAGGAAGGTATGCAATCATCAGTTAGAGAACAACCAGAAAGAAACAGCTTCGTACATAGCTTCTGTTCAATAAAAGTGTTACATAACGCTGCTACACCCTCATCAAGAACGCTATTTCCCAGAAGATCCAGATATGTCAGTTCCGGACATAGTCTATTGTTAAGGACTTCACAAAGTATGGATACTCCACGTGAATTTATTTCACATCTTGTGAGGGATAATTCCTCGAGACAACTTGCATGTCCGTTTTTGAAAAACTCACACATCATGGTTGAACTTTCTTTATTGGTTACGCGAAAACCGTCAATATATATCTTCGTAAGCTTAACATGTTCGTGCTTCAATGAACAATTTGACTCCACTATTGCTTTAAATAGATATCTCGCTTCTATGTGATCATATAAAAAACCCTGCAACACCAGTTCTTTAATACATCTTTCTTTCAGCAATTTATTAACTTCCAGATAACATGTCAAGTCAGAGAGCACGAAATACAATCTCGTTAATTTCTTCATGTGTTTGCAAACAAAAGTCACTGCTGCCCAGTCACTTGAGGTCAAGGTTGATTCGCCAATGTTTGTTAAGCTCACGACATCATTCATACCAGTTGTTTCGCAAGCTTGTTTAGCAATGTCTTCATCATCCGCCTCTCTCAAACATTTCATTACAAACAACGCATTGTTATTTGGAACATTAAGCCTACCATCTCTACAAATAAAGCTTTCTGCGAACGCCAAAACACAATACTTAAAGCCAGTTTTCTTGCCCAACAGACCAGAAATAAACTGAAGCACTAAATGCCATTTACCATTTTCAATATGGGATAAAATAAACTCCTTGATCTTTTCTGGAGAAAACGTTTCAGTCACGTGCCTTGCAGCAAGAAATTCTTGTATAGTTAGATGGATGAAACAAAATTGTGTGTTAATAGCGTTCGATAAACTGTTCAACAAACCAGAATTTTTCATTTCTTCATCCAATGATTCCTCATCAAAAACCAGTTCCCTGGTTTCAATTCCATCATATGCCAATGATTGAAGTTTCGTAATTGCTTCTTCAGAAGATAGTCCAGACAATTTTCTGTTGTGATGCTTGTCAAAATAGGTTATGGCTAACTGATAAAGTTCAGTGACTGTTGTCGGTACAGCACCGGTCTCATTTCTAGGATCACTAACACATTCAAACAAGATTGTAGAAACAATCCAGCAATTTACAGGAATGTAACATAAATTTAACAACTCCGACGAGGATTTTATGTGGTTCCAAATCTTTTGTCTTAGATCGCTTCTGTTATTATTGTTACAAAATTGGCTCACATATGTTTCAATTTTGTCTGAAGTGAAACCAAGAATCTCAACAGTTCTATCGAAAGTAAGCCTAGAGTAAAACTCATTAGCAGTAGGCCTGCTCGTTACCAAAACCGTTGCCTTTGGCAATACGCGACCAGAAATCAGTTTTAAAAACAATGAAATCCCAGACATGCAAATACTAGGATCGTTTGGAGGCGGTAAGTGGTCTAAACAGTCGACGTTGCCACTAAACTCATCTAAACCATCAAAAATCAGAATGGCTTTTTCTGGGCGATTTGTTATATCTTTATAAATTCTTTCAAATTTTTCATCGCTTAGACCTGTTCCATAACGAAGAAACGCCTTGAGAGATAGGTCTTCCAATTCGTTTGAATCAAACCATCTAAACTTAAAGTAGAAGACAATTTTGCGACGATAAAATTTATCAACTCCATTAGCCCAATCACGCATGACTTTTTCAGTCAAAATTGTTTTTCCTATTCCGGGACGTCCAACGGCCAGAATCTTGCGAGGAGACTTGCCCTTTGTATCTTCGTTGGGATAAAATAAATCCTTCACCTCTTTTAAACGTATAGAGTGTTGGGGAACTTCCATATAAACATCGAAAATTTCATGTCTTTGCATATGTTTCGAAAATTTATGCGCAACTCGTTCGGTATGAATAACGACGTCAACATATAAATCATCTAATCCAGTTTTTGGTCCAGAAATTACGTCAGTTGTACAAGATGGTTCCAAAACTTGTCCTTTGTAAAAGTCTATACATTGTTGCAAATTTGTTAGTTTATAAGAATTAACATGCCTATAATGCTTTCGTAACAAATAATCCGCAATGAATTCGGTATCACGAGTTGGAAATCGTCGGCAAAGACGAATCATTTCCACAAGCATTATTGATTAAGAAGCAAAACCCGTGTTTAATACAGATACGATGACCCACCATAATTGTTTCTCAGATACACTCGAATTTTCACAAGTAATAGATGTACTATTCAACGAATTTCCACTCGTATTCAGTGGTGTTTTGGATGTAAACCCTGTTGGTGGTTTACAGCTAAACTCGAAATCAATACCACTTGGAAAAAATACTGCATAATGTAGGATAGTAAACAGTGTCCCAGATAGGATACGGATAGCAAGGTGGAAAAGATACAAATAAAAAACATACAAAGTTCTTCTGTTCTGAACATCGTTCTCTGTATTGCTTTAACTTTGTGGTTCATTACTTGAGTCGATTTCCTCAACACGACGTCGGACCCAGAGTGAATAGATAACAGCGACAATAATGGAAACCAAATACTCAGTATGACAAATATATAAAATGGTAGTGGGGAATTGTAATTCTGTTGGTACCTTCAAAAACATGCTTTGTCGACTTGTGTCTTGTATATCAGCGTGCGTTCAGGCGCGACATGGCAAGTAAATTTCCCTGCCTCTTCGGCTTTCAAAGCAATAACAATACCTGTAAATACCAGGTCACAAAGAACATGAATAATTGAACATATACGTATGCCACAGTACAGAATGCTTTGGGGTTAAATAATCCTTAACTGAGTTTTTCATGATGATATTTGTGAAAAGTATATCATCATTTCATATTGGAATTGGAATTATTTGCGTCACGTGCCTAAATGTTTTGACGTCTGGTTGGGATAAAACGCGCATACGGACGAACGCCCGCGGACGGACGGACAAAAGGAATAAAATGTGGACGAAAAAATAGAATGCTGCAACTCTAAAATATAATTCAGAAATGCACTATGGGTTCGCCTTCATGTCCGTTTGCTTGGTCATTGCCCTAACAAAATTCGTTATTCCGGAGACAAAACTCACAGACTAACACAAAGAACTCCGGCTGGAGTTTCAGTTGTTTGTTTTTTTATTTGATTTTGGTGAAGCGAATGCAGCATCCAAATCTCGCCGATGACTAATAGTGACTTTAATTTTATGACAAGATTGGGGATACGTTTATTTACTTTAATCAGCATATATAAATGTTTAAGTTGTTAACCATTATAAGCAGCGCCCTTAGATCCTGCTCTCTATGGGTACATGAAAAGTTGGATAGAAGCAAATGCATATTTTGCAATCATGCATGTATTCATGATTACTGTGAATAATTATCACAATTATCACAATTGATAATTTTTATTTATTCCATTTCGCCATTTATTCCATTTCGCCGTCCACGCGTCGGTATCCGCTTTTTATCACACCCACAAGTCCAGTTTGTCGCAGCGTTTCCACTTTGAAGGAAATTTCCTTTTTCAAGAACATTTTGGCAGTAAGAAGGAGTTTCAAGGATGAAAAAGAAATCAAGGAAATCTAAGGAAATTTGAAAAATCTAAGGAAATCTAAGGAATTTTTGACAAATGGGAAAGAAAGCTATAAACGATTATTGTTTCAATTAAAGAATATATATATAATATAAACTTATTAGAATATAGATTCAACCTCGCAAATCAGGCTCTCTACTTCAGATCCTTACCAAAACACGTTTTAGCAGAGACCCTGGTTCAGACTGGTCACGTGATATCTTGATTCCTTTGACGCGGGGGAGGGTAGACTGAAATATGTGAAATGCAAAGCACTGTTGATTTCGAATATCGCACAAAGATTGGACGATCAAAATGTATGATTTACTTTAGTTGTTTAGATTTTTGTATTGCAAAATGTATCTGCAGGATATAATATTACTTTTACGATAAAGTCATGAGCGATACATGATAAAAACCAGCCAGTTTAATGACTGATTATTAATCATTAATTTACCTACGGAAAACGTTTTATTTGTACCAAATTGAAAGCAGAATTAATGTATATCAAAGCAATGACAATACCTGTAAATACGAGGCCACAAAGAAAATGAACAATCGAACATACGTATGCCAAAATACTGAATGTCTTCGGCGTTAAATAATCCTTAAATGCGTCTATCATCTTGATATTTCATATTGATTTGACAAACGTCGCTTAGTTGTGTTTATGACGTGCATGGCAATGGATAAAGCAACTGTTTTTGATGACAAATCAAGTTATTGTCAATGCATTGTTAAGGCAATATAAAAGATGAGATAAATATATGCATGGGGAGCTTAGTATGTCGATCAGTCATTGTATTAAGTTAATTGGAGATGACTTGACGTGATTACATGAATACTAAATTACAGATTAGACTAGAAAAGACTAGAATGTTTCACAGTTGCGCCGAGGTTATGTTCAAAACGAAGAACAGGTCTGCTGTTCAAGAATAAAGCTATTTAATTACAATAAGCAGTGAATGTTTAGATCTAGCAAACTGAAGCATCAAATCAGTTACAATTAGATATAGTCGGTGTTGGAACTTTTGCCAACAGCGAGTCTTTGACATTCTTATATAATACAAAAGATATAAAAAGCTACATGGGGAGCTTTTATGTCTCAATATTGTATAATGTATAATTAAAATGGCTTGTCATGAATAGTAAATGATGTGATGGACTAGAAAAAGTTCCTGTGTTTATAGGTTAAGCAAAAGTATGAAAATTCATAGAAATATATTACATCCGAAAAAGCACGTGGAACTTTGATTTCTTTGACATTGCATTCAATGGTTTCAATTGTGATTGAATACTAAATAATAGAATAGACTAGAAAATACTGAATATTTCACATTTACACCGAGCTCAAAGTTCGAAAACGGAGAACAAGAACTAAAGGATTTATTCTTCAAAGGGAAAAATAAAGTTATTAGAATATACATAACATTTGGATATGTCAAGTTAAGAATGAGATCTATATGATAGCCAGTAGCCTGTACTGTTTATTGATTACACTCTCACCTTGCACAGGCTGCTGATAGGCTTGTGATTGGGCTCGAGATTAGAAACATACTCGTGCAGGAGCCATGGGAATACAACGTTCATGTGTGCCTGCCATGCCAAAACAGACAAACATTAAAACGAGGCCATTGGATAAAAAGTGCAATAAACAGGAAAGTCTTTTACGTACTCGAACCGGTGCTAATGAATCTTTGACATTCTTTTTATAAACACTAATAAGAAGCCAATAGTCTTTGAAATTCTTATAGTTGATTTTTACAGAGACTCAAATAATTTATTACGGAAGAAAACCGCATATACTTTCGATGCGCAGTGGCAAAAGTCTGGAAGTTTCTTGCCTTCTCTATCTTACCTGCTTCTCGGTGAACGACTCTTTAAGTCTTTGGCATTGTTATAGTTGATTTTTACACAGACTAAAATAATTTAATATGGAAAAAAATACTAATTCGATGTGCTAACTATCAGAAATTGCGACTGACGCTCTGCAAGCAATGCGGCTTAATGTACTACATGAGCACGTCAAGTAAATGTGCACACTGTCTTAGTCTGAATATTAATGAGCCAAACAACTACAATTATTTCAAGATACAATCTGTAAGGTTTACATTTTTTATGTTTTATTAAAACCTGAAACAGCAAGTCAAAACACGAGATGCAACTGAAAACTTCAAACCTTCACTTTTTGTTTTGTATTAACAACATTTTCAAGCTGCTGGAATTGACCATGGTACTGTAGTGTAGTTTCATTATAAATGACCAATTGATTACTGCATGTACTTTTTCGCAATTTACAATATAGTATTGAAGAGATTTCTGTGGACGTTATTTTGTTAATCAAAACAAGACATAAAAACAAATGTCAAATTGTTGAATGTTTATATAAATGTGCGTATATGTAGCGGAATTAATTATATACTGTATATATTGTATTCAGGATACACCTCTTGATTAGCTGGTATGTAACACAAATAACTCAGCTAGCTAACAGATAACCCAGTTACATTATTGCGTAGTTTGCACAAGGCCTTTACAAGATAGGATTGGATGCAAATTTCGGAACTCAATAAAACTTTAAATGTTTTTGTGAATTTAATTGTAATTTTGCTGACTCGTGGCAAATATGCATTCATTGTTTCATAATCTTGAAGATCTGTGCCAGTATAGGTAGTGGGAATAATAAGAAAGTTTCTGATTGATAGGGATACAACTACCTGAAAAATACAAGGAGAATTTTAACTAACTGGTGTAATGACTGGAGGATGGACTTAAACCAAACCAAGTGTGTAGTCATGCATTTCTCAAGAATTGCTCAACCGATGATCACACAGTACACAATATCAGACACTCCAGTCCTACAATCATCCAGTCAGAAAGATCTTGGCATAACTACCACTAACGACCTTAAATGGAACAAACAGGTGCAAGAGATATCGACCAAAGCAAATAAAATGTTAGGTTTCGTAAAGCGAACGGCGTTCGACATTCGCCAGCGTAGAGTTCGTAAGGTACTTTATTTGACTATGGTTCGTAGTCAGCTGGCTTATGGTAGTCAGGTATGGGCACCCCAGACGGT